CCCCGTGTGATAACGTCCTAATGTTGTGTTACAACCTAGAACTGAAATGGAATTATTTTACATTGGTACCCCTTCATTAATACAAGATAACTCAACTCAATTCTGTGCTTATTATGCTTCTTAAAAAAAGATACTTTAAAACTCCAGTTTTAGTCTGTTTATAGAAAAGCAAAGCAAAGCTCCTGGAAATCATGAAAGCAGTTTTGTTTTTATAAAGGATTTCTGGGCAGGGGTACCATTGAGCAGAGGCAGAGGGCTCTCCTGGCAAGTTTGGAAAAAGAGGCAAGGAGAAAACAAATTTTGGAAGATCTGTTTAGCAAAGTAAAAGGCTGGGATAATCATATATGTTGTTGTTGTGTGCCTTCAACATAGGACCTTATCCCATGGGGGAAACCCCCTGCAGAAATGGGATTTAAAAGCTGAGAGAAAACCCACAAAAGCAGGTTTATTTTCACACACATCGCTGTTAAAGTGTGCTTAACCCGAACGGAAAGTAATCAAAAGCTGCTCCTTTTTACTTTTGGGATTTTCCGAAAGTAAAAAGAAGCGGCTTTTGACTATTTTCTGTTTGGGTTAACCATAGTTTAACATCGATGTCATTTGAAAATCTACCTGCTTTTGTGGGTTTTTCCCCCGTTTAAAACTCCGTTTCTGCACGGGATTTCCCCCGTGTGATAAAAGTCCGTACAGCTGGCCCTCTACAAACTTGAAGCTTTTGCGGATTTGATTATTTACAGATTTGATTAATAGTTTCTCTTTAGGAATCTTTAGGTCAGGGGTAGGCAACCTAAGGCCCAGTGGCCGGATGCGGCCCGAGGCCTTTGGACCAGCCCCAGGCCGGTCCTGCCGCCACTGCTGCCACTTGCCATAATAATATTAATTATTGTTGTTATTACTTGTTCTTCGGGTTTTCTTGGCAAAATCGCCACAGGGGTTTTGCCATGGCTTTTCTGGGGCTGAGAGAGTGTGCATGCATATTTTTAATTTTTATTTATTTATTGGTGCTTCGGCCCACCAATTGTCTGAGGGACAGCAACCTGTCCCCTGGCTCAAAAAACCTAGAGTTTCCTAGAAAAAAAAAATACTTTTCTGGGCATTTGTTGGTCCTCTGGTGCAATTTTGTGGTCATGTTCTGCTGGATGAGCACAGAGTTATGCTGGGAGAACTAGGGATTCCTAAAGAAGTGTTCTCTCAGGTTTAAAAAACCAATTTTATATTTGTTTGCTGTCCACTTTGATGGGGGTCCTACATCCCTAACCCCAATGAATGCGGAAGACCCACTATTATTGTTTGCAGACTGCCAGAAATAGTGCAAATTGAGTCCACTTTAACTGCCCTGACTCAGTGCTAAGGAATCATGGGAACTGTAGTTTATTGTGGCACCAGAGCTCTCTGACAGAGAAGGCTCAATGTCTCAGGAAAAAAAATACAATTCCCATGATTCCCTAGCACTGAGCCAGGGCAGTTAAAGTGGACTCAATTTGCACTATTTCTAGCAGTCTGGAATGGCCCTATATTTCTGACTACTACTACTACTACTACTACTAGTACTTCCAAGTAATTTCTGGCTTATGATGACTCTCAGATGAGCCTATCATGGGGTTTTCTGGAGCTGAGAGTGTGTTACTTGCCCTAAGTCACCCAGTAGGTTTCCATGGTTGAACAAGGAATTGAACTCTGCTCTCCAGAGCTGAAGTCCACACTTAGCCTTTGCAGACTGCCAGAAATAGTGCATATTAAATTGAGGCACTGCCCTGGTTCAGTGCTAGGGAATCATGGGAACTGTAATTTATTGTGGCACCAGAGCTCTCTGACAGAGAAGGCTCAATGTCCCAGAAAAAAAAATACAATTCCCATGACTCCCTAGCACTGAGCCAGGGCAGTGCCTCAATTTAATGTGCACTATTTCTGGCAGTCTGCAAAAGCCCACTGTCTCTCAAAAAAACATTATTATAATATTAACAAAAACCCATCAGTGATACCTTCATTGGCCAACCAAAATGCAAAGTATACTTTTTGCAAGCTTTCGAAGCTCCATGGGCTTCTTCTTCATCAGGCAAGATGTCACAGGAGAACCAAACAGGAGAAAAACAATTGGAGATATTAGTCAGATCATGCCTACATGTTGTTTCAGTCTTTAGTTAAGATGGTGGGTAGGATATATTTTGCCGGCAGGATCCTCCTCCTTCTAGCTTTGTGACTATATAGGAAGATTTGCAAAGTCCAGGAAATTTAAAATCTATTTGCATCTCAACAGGGACCCCTCTTTTGCAATCCAATATGCCTCCATCCCACAGGTCTCTTTGTGGCAGAGATCAATGGATCCCTCAAGAAGTCTCCATGTGTTTGCATCAGGAATATTATGGTAGATGCAGAGGTACAACGTGCAAATTCAATCCAAATTTGAGAAGAATAAAAATTGTTTTACTTTGGTTGAAGTTAACAATATTATTATTAAAATTCAAAGGAAGCTTTCAGTTCAAATGAGGGCCTAAGCAGACTGCCAGAAATAGTGCACATTAAATTGAGGCACTGCCCTGGCTCAGTGCTAGGGAATCATGGGAACTGTATTTTTTTCTGAGACATTGAGCCTTCTCTGTCAGAGAGCTCTGGTGCCACAATAAACTACAGCTCCCATGATTCCCTAGCACTGAGCCAGGGCAGTGCCTCAATTTAATGTGCACTATTTCTGGCAGTCTGCAAAGGACCTGACTTTCCACTCTACCCTTCTTTTATTTCAGTTTTTCAGAGAATTTAACAGGATAATTGAGTTGTTGATTCCACCGCAGTCCCTCCAGATCTTCTGGAGATAATCTGACTTTGCTGAGTGGATTTCAATCTAATTAGTGGTTGTTAATCAGTAATACTTAAAAAAAAAAAACCAGCCTCCAAAGGACTGGGCTGAACCAAGGAAATTTATCCCCTCCTATTAGTGTTTTGATTGCTATCTAGTATTGTATGAGTCACACACTCTCAGCCCCCCCCCCAAAAAAAATTATAGATTTTCCTTAAGGTTGCCATGAGTTGGAAATGGCTCAAAGGTACACAACAACAACAACTCTATGAAATGGGCAAATATAAATATTGAAGATCTGATCTATACATCCCTCTTTGAAGTGAAAAAGGTTCGGTCTCACACAAGTGAGGGGAAATGTAGTTTTTAGTTGGTTGGTTTGTTGTTCATAATGTTGTTGTTGTGTCCCTTCAAGTTGTTCCCAGCATCTAAGCAAAGCCTATCGTGGGTTTTTCTTGGCAAGTTTCTTCAGAGGGGGTTTGCCATGGCCGTTCTCTGAGGCTGAGAGAGTGTGACTTGCCCAGGGTCACCCAGTGGGTTTATGCGGCCGAGCCAGGATTCGAACCCTGGTCTCCAGAGTCATCATCCAATGCTCAAACCACTACACTATACTGCTTTCAAATAATCGCCATGTAGCAATATCTTTTCCTCTTTCACCAGGCAGAAGTGCGGATTAAAGCTTTATGAGGCTCTCAGTTTCGTATAAAGCTTGTAGGCAAGTTAAAAAGGAAGAAAAAATTATAGTTGTGTCCAATCAATTTTCACAAGGAAGAATTCTTATTCCCCCTTAAAGTCTGTCCAAACTCTCGCCACAGACTTTCTGGAGCAGCATTTTTAATCCACACACAGACCCCCCTTCTTCATTTTGACAGCATCCTCTCCAGCTGTCCTGATTTCTCAGTCTCAGTTAATCCTCTCTTGTCCCAGTTTTTCAGCTGCTTTTAAAATGTCCCAGTTTCTCCTGTCACTTACTCCAATTTAGGCAAACCAAGTTTTTTTTTTAAAAAAAAAAAGAAAAACTGCATTTAAAACAGCATTAAAGACAGCTCATCCGGCAGGCCTATCCAATCAATTTTAAATCATCACTTTTAAATCTGTATTTGAACACTTCTAAGTCATAGAATCATAGAATCACAGAATCATAGAGTTGGAAGAGACCA